CTCAGGCTGGGGAGAGGAGGTTGGAGGAGCTGTTTGAGGACGCCAGGACTGTCAGGTGGAAGGGGAGGAAGGAGGGGAGAGGACTTGGCACTTGTGGTGCCTTGGCGGATGTTGGTTTAGGCTCCCGAGTTCGAGAAAGGGTTGGTCTCATTTTGGTGTTATTTGACCTTTGCGAATTTGTCAGGAATTTTTTACCAAGCACGGGTTTATTATTCATTACGGTGTATATAGACCCCGAAATCGAGTGATGGAGTTATAATTATTCTTGAGATAATTAGATTTATATATAACCCCCAGAGCACTTCCGCGCTGGCTTGAGATGTGCTGTATGTCACAGAAACATCACAATCAGCCGCATATATGAATGCCACGCCTCATTTCCTCCTCCTCCTCCTCCTTCTGCACATGTCCTGCAGCGTGTAACCTTCTAAACATTACCAACAGCTGTTAGATTTAAAGCTCTACATCTCCTCCATCTCCCGTTCACCCTCACTTCTCCTCTTCTTCCCCTATCTCTCCCCCAACATCAGATCTGCTTCGGCGGTAATCACGATTAGAGCCTCAAAGAGATACAGATCCCATGAGAAGAGTCTTGGCAGCGGCACTTCTAACCTAATAAGGAAAGGCAGGCGAAAAAGTAGCCAGTGGCAGCCAACAGCCTGCCCTGCCCTGCCCTGCCCTGCCTTGTCCTTTTCAACAACAGCACCCAAGCCCACCGTATTGTGCGGGAAACTCTTTCGTTCAGTACACCCTCTTGGCCCCGAGCTCACCTTACCGGAAAGCATCAGCTCCCACGATCATTCATTGACGGACAACGAGGAAGGGGAAGCTCTCCGACGGTCGCTAGCAAGCGCGTGTCATGACTTCCTCACACGATGGGAATGAGGGCCCTTCCCCAAATTCTATCGCAGGATTGGTACCCACCAGCCCTGTCTTCCCCCACTAGACCTATCCTTCTTACTGATGCATGGGTCCCTCTAGTCATTATCCATATTCTCCGACATCCTCTCGAACCTGACACACGACCTAGTCCTCCAATCGCACCGCCAGGAGAAACTACGCAGCAGAGCACATCCCGCCGATTCCTCGTCCTCTTCGTTAACCTCGTTATCAGAGACGACATGCCCGCGGTGCAATCTCCCCCAGCACACAGCTCAGACACTACAATCCGTGGACACAGCCGACAAAAAGAAATTTTGTTCGAGGCTTCCGTTCCAGAACACCCCCTACCATGACATCTACGGCAATCCCTTCCCAACAATAAATAGCTCTAGCGCGAAGGAGAAAAAATCCGCCGCCGCCACGGCTGCCGCAGTTGCAGCGGCGGACTCACCAACCCCAGATCCGTCGGATACCGCGGTGCCGGCTCCAAAGGGGAAGAACTCGGCTATCATCTATTTTAAGTGCACGTCATGTGACAACGAGAAGGTCGCGTCGTCGCGGTACGCTGCGCACCTGGAGAAGTGCTTGGGGCTTAGTGGGAGGAAGAGCAGTAGGGCTGCTATGGTGAAGATGAATAGTAGCTCCGGTGGAGGGAGTCCGATGCTTGCTCCGGCGGATGCGCCGGGTGGCGGGAATGGCGGGAATGGTAACGGCAACGGCAACGGCGGGGGCAATGGTAAACAGGGGGGTAGTCGGAAAACCAGCCCGGAAAAGAAGTCGCCCATTCCGCCTCCAGCGCCGCTCAACGGAGTGGAGGAGACCAAGACCCTCCTCCCGCCGCCAATCACCACACCACTCGCCGCAGTCATCGTCAGTGGCGGTGGTAGCATGCCTCCGGCCACTACCACCACTACAACTACCACCACTGCAACCCCAAAAAAGAAAAAAAAGAAGGCTGCAGTAGGCGCAAACGTCCCGGTACCCATCCCCCCAACCGCAATCTCCCATGACGACCATGACAAAGACCACCATGACAAGGCCCGAGACACCTCAATATCCCAACCAACAAAAGACGCCCCCGCGCCTCCCAAAAAGCGTAAACGAAAAGCTGAAGCTGACGGCACGATCAACGTCTCTGCAATCCCTGCAGCATCATCAGTAGTGGTGATGGGGGGAATGTCACTTTCTGCGGGAACGAGCCTAGACAGCGAAATTCCAAAACCCCCACCCATAAAGAAACAGAAGGTTGCGTCCGGCGCGGGCTCCTCGGAAACACCAGTTACCAAAAAGTCGCAATTGGGCAAATTTAGTAAGAACAGGCAAAGCCCCACTCCTGGAAATTTGCCCAAGAAGCCACCTGCTTCGGCTGCGGCTGGAGTTGGCGGCACCGACAGGGTTTGATCCCCGCTTGTTCCCTGCACATCTCTTACCGCTCTATTAATTCACTAACTTTCCACGTGCGCACAGATATCTACCCTCCCCCCAGCCCCACCCCCAACATCGACCCCCAAACCTGCAAAACCGAAGGTAGCAAAGCCGAAGATTGCAGCGGCAGCGGCAGGCACAGCAGCAGCGGGAGGAGCGGCCGGTAAGGTAGTTCCAAGACCCGTCAAGAAGCCGGACGGAGTTAAGAAGGTTAAGGGTACTGGGAAAGCCAAAACTGCAAAAGTTGCCAGCAAGGGGATTGGAGCCGGGAAGGGGGTTGCGGGGAATAGTAGCGCCGCCACTACTGCTGCTGCTGCTGTTGCTGGTAGTAATGTTGTTGGTGGTGCTACTAGCGCTGCGTCAGTGGCGGGGGTGGTAGGGGGCACGGCGGGGGCTGCGGGCGCAACACCGGGGCAGGTTGCGGGAAAGGGGGTGGCTAGGAAGGGGACTTAGATTAGCCCCAGTAGCATTGGAACGGGGGTGGGTATTATTGCACGGGCACGAGGAGGAAGGTATGGATTGTTTATGGAAATGGGGATAGGCGTTTGTTTTTTTTTGTTTTTTTTTTGGTATTTTATTGCACTGTGCTACTATTACTTGCCGACCTATTAGCCGATTGATTACCTGGTTACTTGGTACCCTTTTCCAACTTGGCACTTTCATTTTACATTATTATTTCTGCTTTCTCTCTTTGTAAGATGGTGTGGTATGGTTAGTTAGGTATGTAGACCGAGATCATTATGATTCATAAAAACTCACTCGTGGGATTTAGGCGGATGTGTCGAAGGTCGTGCACGAGGAGCCGGGGATTGAAGACAAAGAAACATGGAGGGATGTACGGAACGGTATGGATTGAAGGTGTGTAAGGAGTTTCTCGCTCGGGTGCCTACCCCGATATATGCGCTTAAGACCCTCTTACTCACACAAATAAGCGACTCTATAATATACATCGATGTGACTCTTGTCATTTCCTGAATCCTGATGCACCAAGCAGCGTGGCGGGTAGCCGGAAATTTGTACCATTCATCACATTGAAGTAATATTCCCGACAGGCCGATGAATTGGTTGAGATGGAGTCAGTGTTTGGGGGGTGATTGGTAGAATTGAAAGGGAATAAACTATTGTTTGATCTCTTCTTCCCCGTTCCCGCCTCCGCGTTCCGGTTCACTCCCCTCCTGTGCTTCTCCACTCCCCTCCGGCCCGCGCTCTCCGTCCCTCACATCCTCCCCATCCCCAAACATTTCCTCTCCTTCCCGTCCCTCCTCTTCCTCATCATCATCACCATCATCATCCCCCTCAACAACCCCCTCCCTCCCAACCCACTCCCCAACCCCCACCCTACGCCTAACAACCCGTGCACCATCCGGCCTCAACCGTCGGTAATACCCACCGGCCACAACCCCCACCTCGAACCCGCGCCGCGCATACCATCCAATCCCCTCAATATTCATCTCCCAAACATGGGCGTAAACCTCCCTGACCCCTCTCCCCACCACCGCCTCCAGCAACCTCCCCGCCACACCGAGCCCACGATACGGGCTCAGGGTGCACAACGTCATGACATATAATTTTCCGTGAGGCTCTAATCTGCAGCGGATGGCGCCGACGCAAATGGGTTGTGCAGAGGGGGAGGAAGAGGATGGAGGGGGGTTGTAGAAGGCCAGACGGGTCAGACGAGTTAGGAGAGGGGAAGAGAGGATCTCGCTATAGAAGGTTTGCGGGTAAGGGATGGGTAGGAGGAGGGTGTTTAGGCGTTTTAGCAGCGGGATGGTCAAGGGTGTTGGCGGGGTTATCGTTATGTTTGGGTGAGGAGGGTGGGAGGACTGCGGCATTTGCTAGTGATTCGGCGCGGTGATCCCGGAGTGATGGAGGTGGAGGCGGGAGAAGGTATTCGTGGTCGTCGTAGCGTTGCGGGAATGAGCCAGTGACAGGAGAGTTGATAGCGTCTTTTAGATAGGAAAGATGGAGTTGTTTCGCACTGTGTCTTGTCGTGTCGACCATCAAGGTATGATACCCTCACGCAAACCTACACACATGACACCGCCATCAAAGAGACGCGGACCCCTAAAGCATGCGGGGCAACACGTGACCGGGCGATTTCGGGGGGCATTTTCTTCTGCCACTCCCCTCCAAATTGCAACCCAAGCAATCATACTGTACCTCGCCACCCCGTGACCAAAGTCCAATCGCCCAACATGGCTGGCGGACAGAACAGTGGTGCATTCGTCGTCGTCGTCGTCGTCGTCGTCGTCGACGAAAATCACAGCATCATAATATTATCATGAAACCGCTCGAGCAGCACAGCAACCGCACACCTAGCCTTCAGAAGTCCAATTAAGCTTCGGAGCCGCATGTCTTGCCCGGGTCTAAATATAGAAAAAAAATCGGGCGGAAAATCCTTTATCCTGGCAAGAGTTGGGGCTCGCGCAAGCACAAGCAACAAGCACCCGTAGTGCGTGGTAAGTTAGGAGGCAGTCCGGGAAGAAGAAGAAAAGGATAAGATTATACGAGTACGGTAGGATAATATGATGTGATATGGTCCGGTCCGGTCCTCGTGTCCCGGATTCTACTCTAGAGTATAGAGTAACACAAGTGGCGGCCTCCATGCCGAAGGTAATCAAAAGTGGGGGTTGTGTGTGTGTGGTAATTCCACAATCTCGACGACTTTTGATAAATTACAGTACGGTAGGCACCGGTACCGTATTTCTATAATATCATATGATATACGTACAGTACCACTCCCGATAGATTATCAAAAAACGATTCAATACCAGTGACATATCCATGCAACTTATTCCGTAGCGAAAAACAAAAACAAAACAAAACAAAACAAAACACATCACATCACATCACATCACATCACATCCTTTCACTTGTCCTCCTGCTCCTGCTCCTCCCTCTCCAACCGACGGATCTTCCCCTCCAATTCGAATCTCCTCCTCTCAAGTCCATCCCTATGCTCCACCAATCTAAACGAGATGGTAAGAAGAAGAAGTAAAAAAAGAAAAAAGAAAAAAGAAAAGAAAAGAAAGAAAGCAACCTCACCTTCGAATCCTCCCGTCAATCCCCTCCCCAAGCACCTCACTCCGCCTCCTAAGCTGCGAATCGCTCTTCAGCTGGGCGCCCGTGTATGCCCCGACGCCGGTGATGGCCACGGCCCCGACGGTCAGTATCACGGTCCTTCGGCGGAGGAGTGGTGTGGACATGTGGTGATTTTTCCCTTTCGGATGACGTAGTGCGGGGAAGAGGGGAGGACGGACGAGATAAGGCAGGCAATGTAAGGTATAAAAAAAAAAGAAGTAAAAAAAAAAAAAAAAAGTAAGTGAGTGATAGTTGTGATGGATGATTGTGATGTTGTATGTACGGTATTGGTCTAGTACAGTACCGGTTATGTTAGGCAGGGGCGAAGAAGAACCTGAGGGTTTTCTTGGAAATGGGCCGTGCCGTTCTGCTGCAGTGGTGGATTGAGTTATGATACAAGTACGTGCTGCACTGTACTGTACGAGTACTGTACTAGTACATACGGTTACGATAAACCGATAACCGGTACAGTACGTTGATTGGAAATCGGACTGGGGGGGGAGAAGGGGGGTTTTGTCGGTTCCTGTGCGGTGTCATACATGTCATGCATAATTACGGTCTATCATAGTAACAGTAAGCGTGGAAGGAGGAGGGGAGGGGGTTGACGGAGATGGGGAAAAAGGAAAAAAAACATAGAAATTTAGAGTCGTGTTCATAAAGCTTTTACGGTACGGTACAGTACACTCCTGGGAGATTCGGACCGATTTAGCCATACCAGACTAAATTTCTGCAAATAGATAAATAAATTGTGGAGATAAATTCGGTTTTGTGGTGTTGTAGAAAATATAGATGGTGTGACATTTTATCGATGAAGTCAGTCTGAAAACTGATAAGTTTAGATTCTGGAGAAAATATCTGTAGTAGTGTAGTTAATTGTGCTTGATTTGGTGTTGTAGTTTTTTTTCTTTTCTACAATTGCATCCTAGAAATGAGGAAAATTGAATAATAAAGAGGTATGATACATGAGAAGGAGTCGAGGAGTAGAACTTGGAACATAAATGAAGATTGAATTGCAGGACAAATATTGAGCCCAGGCTTCATGAAGTTGAAATCATAGTTATTTTGGATTAAAATATTGTTATATATGATGATTTTTTAACTACTGCAGGAAAATAATCATTGATTCATGATTGAATTCTATAGACATACTGTAGTTAAAAAAAAATATAACAGTATTTAGAAAAGCAAGTTTTACTATGATTTAATATGATCTAGATAGTTAATAATAAAAACAACCTGAAATTATAACTTTCCAGTACTTCCTACTAAAAGTATAGTATGATTCAGAACTGCCCTGGCAGAAACAATCTTAATAGTATCTACTAATTTATATTAAAGTAATAAATATATTCTAATCAAATAATTTATATCATATAAAATAGATTTTTATATTAGGTTTTAATACTACTAGTGCTATTACTTATACTATTTAAGTTTGAAAACACCTACTATCAAATCACTACTACTATTTGTAAATAATCTATAGCATTTCAATTCAAGTTGTGAATTTCAAGTGCACATCCATTTCAAACTATACCAAACTTCAAGTTATTACTTGAAGAGTATATCTGTCTTCAGGTGAAGTATAAATATTATTTGATTATATAATACTGACAACTTAATTGTAAGTTTACTAGTACAAATATGTTATAATATTATCATATAAATTGACTATATTTATATCATGGCATTGTAAATGTTTTTATTTCAGTTGGTCAAATACAAAATAATAAGTATATGGTATTTTCAAATTTTAATAACTGACTGAATCCATTTATCTCAGGTTCTTGTCACAAGAGTAGTAATTTACACCTTACTCTTAAAAGTATGATTTTCCTTCTTTTATGTACTCATTATTTGGCTGATTGGCAATGAGGTGATGATGGGTCTGTCACTAGGCTCTGTTGCCATCCAGGGACGCGGAAACTTTACGGACACGACTCTACTTATAGGATCCCTCGAGACCTGCTTTATTTTATGATGCTTTCTTCTTTTCTTCCTCCTCTTCTTCATTCTTTTCCAATTGCCCCCCCCCCCCCCGGCTTCTCTATCTCTCCCTCTCTTAGGGCTAAGGCGTTTTCCCACATCACATCGCATCACATCACATCACATCTCGCATAGCATAGCATCCCAGTGATCACTTCAAGTACGAGTACCGGTGCCGCACAGAGCAATGTCTAAACGCACTCCAAGGGTTTTTATCATTCGCCATGGTGAGTGAGGATGTCTGTGTGCGTGCGTGCGTGCGTGTGTGTGTAGGTCATGTTGCAGTGCTGTAGTCTAATGCTAACGAGTGTTATCGTGCCACAGGTGAGACGGAATGGTAATTGCAATACCCCGCATCCCAGATCTGCTTTGAATACGTGATATGTAGAATGTTATACACGTTCGTTAGGTACCACGTGTTGATACAATTGGGCGCAATGTGCACAGGTCGCTCAACGGCCGACACACCAGCACGACAGACCTCCCTTTGACGCCCGCCGGTGAGATGCGCATAAAAGCAACCGGGGAAGCTCTCATCGGAGAGAAGGGGCTGATTTGTCCGAGCCTATTAGCATACGTGTATCACCCCCCTTCCCCCCAGTAATATTAATCGCTCCCAAACGGTAGCAATGGGCGCTACGAGTACATTGCAGTGCTGACCTCAGGAAGCTACGTCTCCCCACGCCTCAGGGCAAAGCGCACCCTTGAGCTACTCGGACTCTACGAGAAATGCCCGCACCTGCACGAACGGTCTGCTGAGACTGATCAACTGGTGGAATGGAATTACGGCGACTACGAGGGCCTCACGAGCCCGGAGATACGCGAGCACCGGCGCGCGAACGGGGCGCTCGCTGATAGGCCGTGGGATATTTGGCGGGACGGGTGCGTGGGAGGGGAATCGCCGGAGGATGTGGAGAGGAGGTGTGACGCGCTTATCAAGACGATTAGAGAGCAATGGCATGGCCCTGCTGTGCGGGATGGAAACACGCCCGGGGATGTGGTGTGTGTCGCACATGGCCACTTGTTGAGGGCTTTTGCGATGAGGTGGGTTGGGAAGAGCATTAGTAGTAATACGGTGCCACTGATATTGGAGGCTGGAGGTGTTGGGATCCTCAGGTTCGCCCCCTGCTTTCCCTATCCCATTACGGTCTAGTAAGGGTTGTGCATTGATGGGTTGGCAGTTATGAACATCACTCGATTGACGAGCCCGCAATATTGCTCGGGGGTTCATTCGTGGTTAAGGCTGAAAGCCCCAAAGATTCGGAGAGCCCGGAGACGGAGCGTCAGACCAAGGTGGCCATCATGTGAGGAGGTGGTTGGGGGGGGGGGGCGCCGCCGCTAAATTAGCAGTACTAGTAGCGTATACCCAGTTAGACCCAGTTAATTCATCCAGTCCATAATCTCCAACAAGCTGCCGGGTGACAGGCGCCAAACAGCGGGTAATTTCGACGCCCAGAAAGGCAATTTGAAGTCAAACCCCATGTGCTATCCAGAGATCCATAACCAACCCCCCGGCCATAAATCATAGTATCAAAAATAGTGTCATACTAGAGTCGAGACATTCGACTTGCCGTACCTCTACTCACATCCCGTCTACAGCAGCCCCCCCCCTTAATGACCCACAACCGAGCTCAATACCACACAATGTGCGAGTGGACCGCCCCACCTCCGCATGCATAAAACCAAATCCCCACATCCCGAAGTAGTCCGTGAGGATTAGTTTCGCGCCCGTCTTGACGATCGTACCATTCTTCAGTTCCCGGACCAACAGTAACCCAGCCGCCCGGACCCGCATACCAGGATCGCACATAAGTGAGAAGCTTATCACCCTGTGAATGAGACGAGTAAGCGTATCATGAAATTCGCTCTAGAATAGAACCCTCCCCCCCCTTTTTTTTTCCGCCAGCCCGAAAACCAATATATCGAGTCGGACAACACAATCGCATGTCTTCCACCCGTGTGTGTATAACGGGTTTACTAATGTGACTCTCGCTCGCTCGCCGTTTTCCCCGGGCTCTGGTCCAGTGGTGACTGCTGTGATAGGCCCTGAGATATAGTCTAATCGGTATAAATTAGTAAGAACTTAGCCTCCGCACCTACTTGTACTACTGTAGTCGCGCGAGTGCTTGTAGGGCATGGATGCAGTGGCCACCTCGCCCCCCGATACGGCATGATGTTAGGCATTTGCAGTACTCTCCTCCCCCTTCCCTCTTATCACGGGCCCAACCTGAAATGTCCAATGTGACCCTTGGCATTCCAGAGTAACGACAGGCTCGCGCCGGCGCCCGCATGTCCAATCCATTCCACCACCAAATCCCGCGCCAAGGCCTGCAATGTTGCATTAATTCTCACTGAGCAGCCATGTATACAGTATGTATTATATCGATCTTAATCACCATAAGGTTAAGTCCACCGGCAGAAAGTAGCCGGAATCCAGCGCATGGAGGTAGGCATTACGGGATTCCCGGGAGCTCCGAATGCCCGGTAGGGTGTTTCTGCAGCAGGAAGCAAAACTGGGGGGCATCGCAGGAGCCTCGTTCGCCCTGCGAGGTTTGCGTTACGGTAAAAGGTGTGGTGCCCCGTCTCTTTCGCCGTCTTCTAGACTCCACTGGAGGAGGAGGGGGGGGGGACAGAAAAAGAAAATAGAGAAAAAAGGTATCATAATGATAGTTACCAAAGCGGAAACCCCGATGAGGTTCTGTTCCCACCCTCTTCCCTTTTTTTCTCTTTCCCCTTCCCTCCTGTTTCTCGCGCCCCCAGATTAATTAATCCGAGTGTGAAATGGAGTAAAATGACAGGGCCAAACTCCGAGTTCTCCAACTAGGCTATCGTCTACCTGGTAGATTCAGGCCTGCACGCCTCAAGCCTTTTCTCACAACCCCCGGGCAAGCGAGGTCACCACTAGGCGATTGTTAGCCCATCTAGGTCATAGATTCCGTGGGTAACCATCACTTCGTGCCGTCGAGAAAACTGACTTACAGAACGCACTTGCCGCCACAATAATAATCATAATGATCGAGGACGGTATGGCTATGACATTAAAGACACGAACTTCCCTGCGCACATATTCTGCATAAACCAGCCCCCCCTTGCCCCCATCACCATTGGCGGGTCGTCGAATACGAGTGACGATATATGACTTTATGCACCGAATGGTGTGATCTTGTGTGATCCCGGTCGGCTTATATCAAAAGGAACGGTTGGGGGCAATAATGTCAATTATTAGAGATAGGCATGCCTGCTCACCGTTGGTCGTGCACATGGATAGTAGCACTTCGGGGCTGCATAGACTTTGGAGGCAAGGCGCCGGCTACCCCGTATTTCCCAGTATCAGTCATCCGGGCGCAGAATGTGGTGGATCGGTACTCGAGTAGGTATGTGTAGATAGGAGGGTAGGGAGGTGTAAGAGCCGCGGAAAGATAGCCCCCGCTCGTATATTATCATCCGCTATAAATTGAGCATCAAGCACGAGCTAGGCACAAATCCCTAGTGCGAAAAGTGTGGTGTGAAGTGCGAAAACCGGACCGATTTTCGACAAGACTCGAGATGTGTGGCAAATGTAGTTCTGGAAGAACCAGATGGCTAGGATTTGAGTTGTTATGTGAAATAGCAAGGTCCCTAATATCTGCCAGACAGTTATTGATGGAGTGCCTTTCCCGAAGAGGTGGGATCTCTCACTACATCACTGGTTCGGAAGAAGGGTGCACAGTTCAAAAAGCTATACTTACCAACCGCGTTGCAGTAGCACCGAATGGAGTGCTCGGTATTCAGCAGCCAGACTCCCATGACCCTCCTTGGCTTTTAGCAAATGTTTTATAAATAGGAAGCATGGAGGTAAACATAATATGGTGGGACGCCTTCACGGCTAGTTTCTCGCGAATGGAGAGAAAGATATCCCCCACCGCTTATCGATTTGGGTTGCAGCCGCTACCGGCCTACGGTAGTTTCCTACCCAAAAACACGGACGCGAGACCGATGCATCCGATAAGCCCGAACCACATACTGGAGTTCAGTACAATCGCCACCAGCAAATCAGCAAAGCTAATGGTAACCCGATGGGATGGGTATTCCTGTCCCGACCACCGGTAAAAAGAGGGAAAAGGGTATAGAACGGCCAAAAAAATCCATTAATAAACTCGACATTCAAACCAACGTTTTGGATAAAACGCCCCGGTTAAAAACATAAATATAAATATATACCGCCCCCGCCTCCCCAGAAACTCTCTGGTAGTAAAGAATAATTTCCACGGCTGTTGATGTAGAGGTGCAATTCCGTTCCAAAAAGTGCAAAAATGCATCCCTAGCTTCCCCGGAAAAAAAAAACACCACGAGGCTTAATTCTCCGGTAGACCCTGCCAAGATTCACCCCTGATCCTGTCCAAAACGCCTTAGTGTTTTCCTTCAGTTTGGTAAAGGAGGGGGATCCTATATTACGATTAGGAATAATCGCACGTGGGGCAGGTGCACGGGCACCCCCAGTGGCACGGGTACAAATCCAACGGCAACGGGTTGTGCGACCGCAGGCATGCCCGGCGGCCAACGGGGTGATCATGCCCCCTCAAATTCCCGGCGGTCAATGGACAGAAACGTGGCGAGTGATTCCCCGTGACCGCACACGCATACGGTTGCGGAGTTGATCGGCATCCCGCGACTGATAACAGGAACAAGGCCTTTGACCAAAGTGATAAAATGTAACCGCCCAAAGAGCTGTAGGTGATCGGAAGGTGCGACGTCCCATGTTACTGGGGCTGGCGATCTTGGTCTCCAAGTACCTTTTCGGGGATGCGCATGCATAGTAATTGTCATGATGATATCGCGGCTGATGCTCCTAGTCGAACCATCGGTAATTTTCTGGTGTCTGTGAACACTACTATTGCGCGCCAAAAAAAGTCGTGAGGCTCCAGCCGATTTTTTGCTCATATGCAGTAGCAGCAGTGTTCGCAAACGTCAGAAAATTACGAGCAGAAAAAGGACCAGTTGTCGGTGATTGACAAGACTCTGCGCACAACAGAAAGAATGCCATATTATCCATTGACCCTGGCGGTGGGGGGCGGGAACGACGGGATCGGGAGCTAAGCTGAAACGAGGCATCGACGCCCTCAACCCATGCTATTGTTTTCATTGGAGGAGTGTTTCAAGAATCCTCAGGATCAATTCCCTCTTTTACCCCTAATGGAGGCTGGCCCTATGCCACCCATCACAATCAAATTAGCAGTGAGTGGCCAGTTGCTCATCGTGGCCTGCAGGTATGGGGCTGCGCTACCTGCAGTTCATCACAAGGCGTGCGAAGCACCGAGTAGAGTCATTTCTCCAGAGCCAGCACAATAAAATAAGCCTTATTTACCGCAAGAGCAGAATTTTCTTGCGATCACTGTACATTTGTGAAACCCAATCGTATGTGCGAATGCCGGTTGTCGGATCATCGCACCTACAACGCACAAAGCCTGTTGAGGAGGGGAGCTCAACGCGGAGCTGATTTATTACAGTTCCTGGTTTGCTAGCCGGTCGGGATCAAATTCCAGGCAATTAGCTCTTGCATCAGTTGAGCCAAATCCATACGTTACTATTCAAAATGAGTGGCTTTTTATCTAGCCAGCGAATCAATCCCTCGCAGAGGGATCGACACCGGGCCGCCCCGGCAGCTGCCGGCACTTCCCATGATGAGAAAATACGGTAATGGTGTCAGCTGAGAGTTCTGGAAGTAATTCGTTCAGGTGATATTATTAAACTGACGTCTTTACATCTGGGTCTTGTTTTGATTTCAGCTGCTTATTGGATTTCCCACCATGAAAGAGAGCCTACCGCTAGTCCCCACTCAGACATCTGTTGGTTAACAGCTCCTTCACCCAATGCAGTGATGCGGCGCGAAAACAACACTTCGGGGTAGGGAGGAAGGGATAACTGGTGTGAGGAAGCTTCCTGCAGGCTGTGAGACGTAACCTGGTCAGCACCGACAGCGATTGACCATGTGCCCAGAAACTGTGACGAGTCACAAGTAACGCTTTCCAGCCGGTACTGCGGCCATCCTTTGTGTAATATCGGATTTCCAGGGCTCTGGATGCCGTGACTTGTGACATACTGAACGAGGGCTTTTTTTGCCCGCGGCTAGAGCGTGAATGGCAGTAAAGATTTTGCTAAATCTCGATTGACCCGCCGTGCAACGTCGGTTGGGTTGCGGTTGCTTTCGGCCGGTCAGCGCAACGACCTTTTTTGCCCGGGACAGACCTTCCAGTTAGGATTGTGTCGCACAGGGTGGGGAGCAAGGATATGGGGGCCGGGAAGACAAAATGGACGCCGATGTGCAACCACCGACCACGGGAGATCTTCCACGTGGGTTCCGGAACGGCCCGGCCCGCCGCAGATGTGTCATCCGGACGGGAGAGAGTACGTGTACCTTGGCTCATAAATTACCTTTCCAGGTATCCCAGCTTAATTCGGGCATACCGGTACACCAAGACAGAGTAACCGTGCATTGACTGCCGAACTTATTTGGACGTAAATCAGCCGAGTGGAAGCAATGTGCTATAGTACCAGTCAATAGCCAATTTAATACGGGAATTTTTGTTGGAAAAATCCTCCAAGGACTTCCGCGTAGAATGTGGACTTCCTAAAGTGAAATCAGTGCCAGGAGAAGGAAAAAAAGGAGGAACAGGAGTAGTACCTGGAGAATTGAATGCAAATCCCAGCCTAAGCTTCCCGGACAGGGTGTGAGTCAAGTTGCGTGGGAGCTATCAACCTGTTCCAATGTCATGCAACTTTGCTTTCGGCCCCAGGAGGGAACGAGCTTTTGAGCGTCGTGAAGCCAGACTTCGGCCCAACCAATACTATTAGCACCTTTCTGTCAATAGCCTCGTGCAGAATAGGTAATAATATTATATAGTTACTACCGATAGGTGAACTACTTATAGGGCTTAAGTTACTTTATACTCATGTAGTATTTAAATAGCCATAATTTGTAGTCACATACCCTTTCATTTGGCCACTCTTTTCAGTGGATGGCTTTGCCATTTATGCCCCCCAGTGACTTATAAGCCACCAGTAGTTAGATCTCCCACAAGTGCTTGCGAACTCCAAAGATATCCTGACACCTTGGCGCCAAGGTCCTGTGCTTCTAGTGTGCTTTGGCATAAAGGTGTCCGGGTGCTTAAGAAATTCGCAAGTACCGTACCGATGTGATTCTTTCTAACAAGGAGGGGAAAGTTTTGGCGTTCCGAGAACTTACCTCGGCATTAGGTACGGCTTTTCACCTCGAAGCTCATTCGATCGCTTGCCCACGCTTGGATGCGCATTGACATTCACTCGTGCTGAGATCAGTCTGAGGACACGACAAATTATTTTATGGACTCCGTACCTTAGCAGGGATCTTAATTCTGATGCACGGACGAGGAGAGCATGTGTCAAGTCTCATTTCATTATGCTTCGTAGCCGGCATAGAGGAGATAGCTACGGTCACAATACCGGTATTGAGATTCTTAAATTGCGATCGTCCACTCGTATTCCACAGTGCAGGATTAAGAATGGAGCGCGCGAGCGCGAAACGGCGTCAAGGTGGGGCCTTGATGAAATCAAACTAGACCCCTCTTGGCTTCCATTCTTCTGCACTAAGATTGGACATGTCCCTATTACTGCACGACTTCGCGCCAAGTATCTAGAGCTGACTTCCACCCTGTGTCTGAGCGGCTCTTAAAATCCTCTGTCTCCTAAGCCCCTCCTCTCGTTTTCGCATCTTCCGCTCCTCCTTGCTCTCCTTCGGCGGAGCTTGTCCTTGATTAAAAATCACCCGCTCGATTTTGCGGCTGAATGCATCAACCCTCCTCTTATTATCTTCAAACCTCAACGATGAAACAAGCATCATTGTCTTTAAATAGTCTTCATCAACTACCATCTTGATACCGGGGTGGGATGCGTTCATAACCCCGATTATCGAGTCCATTACAAGTCCATTGCAGCGTATGGCAATCGTGGGAAACGAGTGCTCACTGAGCCCTAGATTCATGATTCCGGATTCACGAAAACCAGCCGTTAAGGCTGCGACGAGAATAACATGAGCTGTCTGAAGATCGAGCGTCTGTACATGGAGTATCTTATCTTGTAGGTTAACACAAAGTTGGTTAAAGGGAATTCGAGAGTGTGCCATACCATAGGTTCGAACTTCATGTGGACTAGCCGAGTGGAACTTGAGACACTAGTTCCCGCCTCAGAAAGCACTGACTCTGTAAGAACTTGATTGTTCGCAGAGTGTAACCCGAGAGTATGCCCCCCAAGAAGCATATGGCTCACTTCTCTTGGAGTCATATCAATGCAGTCCACAGGGTCGTGGGAAACAAACAGCCACTTTCCCCCACCTTTTCCACCCATGCCTGCGCTGCCGGAGGGAAATTCAGCTTTCTCGTCTGGTTCAGGGCCTTCCCCGATTGCCTCAGAATCCGTCCCAGCTAGTTTTTTTGATCCCTCTAGGAAAACGCTCATCCTCCCACTGCAGCTACTCGTAGTAATGATCTTATGGTGCTCGTTTAACCGATTGATCAGGGGAAGTATATGAATGTCGATAGATCCTTTGGGCGATGCGTCTGGTCCTGGAGATGAAATTTCGGCTAAGATCTGTGTTTTATGGACTGCAAAACGTGCGTGTAGCTGCTGAGCCATTTTCCCTTATGGTTTGTTATATGGAGCGGGGCATAGTTTGGAATAATGGTGGGGTCGGATGCGTTTGATTTTTCGAATCGGTTGACCACCGATCTGATAAGATAAAAGAGCTGTATCCTGGCACAGCCCATTCCAGGAGTAAACGCGTTGCTCTTCTTGAACACCCCATCTAAGAACCTTCAGCACTAGTATAGTATTCCTTCAACTGCCAGGACAGTACACTTCCCTATGCCGCGAGGAAAGGTAGCGCCTGAAGAAATTGTCATTGCAGCCCAATCGATCGACAAATCAAGCTGCTTAGGCGCTGAAGCTAAGTTCCGCAATTAATACTCCTCGCTTTGAATACCCATCAGACGATGACAGCGTTGGAGACGGACCCGGGGACGATTTTTTCGAGTGGGGTCTGGGCGACTCTATAGGTGAGAAGCCCCTGCAACAGATAAGGAAGCGCAAAGAGCAAAAAAAAGGCATCAATAGCCGGATAGAGAAGCGTTACTCTTACTTGTACTAACGGTCCTTTGGAAACAATAGAGTAGGGGAAATCACGCGAGATACCCGTATGATACTATATAGACTCCCCAGCCCCGGGGACATCGATTTTGTTGCTAAGAAAATACATCCTTCGACGTTGGCTTTTCTGACAAGTTTTACGCCCACTCTCCAGTTTAACCCAATCCGGATTACTACCAGGATTATGATGCTTCCATCCCGGCTTGAGAATGGTATATATTTATCGGGGCAGTATTAATACATTTAGCTTCGCTCTGCCTCCTAAGGAAACCAACAACCATCCTTGGTTTAGCGGTATGTCTTTAAAACAATCACCACCTTGTCACCAACTCCAAATTTCATAATCTCTGGTACTCTGTCAGTCCATAGGAACCAAGTGCAGTGTGGATGGGGGATGAACACTGAAACATATCTATAATTGGCCCAGAGAACGGAGGTTTATATCGTCCTGCGAAGGCAAACATCGAGTCTTTCGTGGAGAGGACGAACAAAGGGACTGCCGAAAAGGCTAAAAAAAAGGTATCATACCTAAACCACCTACCAAAGATCTGGCAAGCCTTCCCTCCTGGAGTGGTTTGGTAGGTTGTCTGCCTGAATATTCACAACCATGCTCGTGGTTCGTACTCCCGTACCAATATAAGACGTACTTCACTTGTGAGAGGACAACAGATACATATTTATATCTTGCCTTTCCGTCGCCTGACCTCTCATGCCAGGTGATCAGCTCTTAAACTGCTCAGATATCAGAGCTGGTCCCTGAGAGATATTTGATGGGGGGCTTGGTGTTTGTAATTCTGTTATAGGTGTTCGGAGACTGCCAGTTGCTCCGATCAAGAGCTCGGGGAAAGTTCATCAGAAGCTAGTTTGGCCAGGCAGGACATGGGTCAGATTCTGAGAATATACAGAGAAATTAGGTTCAGCAATGATCGAACTCCTCGCAAGGTAAGGTTCATTACCTGGATGCTTGAGTAAACCAGGAGGCTTGTTGGCCTGTTTGTGATGCGGATAGAGCCCACGAGCTTCTGTCCTCCGTGAAAACCTGATTTACTGATTACACACAAACACGCTTTTCCGCTGCATGCTAATTAACCACGCCCCCCTCCGTTGTTAATGCTGTCCCCACTCTCAACGTGGCCTGTCAGTTTCTTTACGAGAACGGGTCTGTCCAATAGAATTGGATTACAATGTCATGAAGAGCCCTGAGCCTACCACATTAACACGAAACTCTGACGAGAAAATTCCCTTCTGGCTGATACTTCCAGTTCGCGCACTTGAATAAAGGGGTCGTATGTGCACTATGACCTTCGTGTGCAACCAGGCCGGTCCTTGAGGGTGGTGATCGTCCACTCTTGCCATTTATTTCTTTTGTTGAGCGATTTTTGGAGGGATTGTCTCCTCAGCCATCGTGACCTTTTTGTGGTTGCTCTCGGATGCCTCGTTGTCAGGTCCATTCCACTCCCCAAACCTCGCTGGGTCAACGCTTCTGGGTGAGCTGCTTAGGGTGAACGGCTCTGCTTTCATGGTGTACCGTACTTCACACCGGCGTTTAAATCTCGTAGCAGTCTTTTGGGGTCATATGTATAATAATTTGATAGGCCCCTGTTCACTTTGTCGCATGTTTATAGCTCTTTGGAAGCTTATCGGACACGCAGGGCTGGTGACTAAAAAACTAACGTGGACGACGTGATAATGGACAGGAGGCGGTCTTTAGCAACCAGGAGCCCAACCGTTGAGCCTACCTTGAAGAAGAATCGATGAGGAACCAAAGCGTTTCAAACGTGTTCTCGCGGGAGCTGAGTTTGTGAGGAGTTTGGGACGCTCGCGTTGGTGGGTATGAGGGTAAGGCCGTTGGAGTTTCCGCCGAAAAAAACAAAAAGATGGAGGATGCTTTGAAAACCGCTTCAAAGATCAGCTCTTGTCTTATTGCGGTGCAGTCGTGATTTCTGTTGTTCAATTTTTGTTTGCACACGGTATCCTGGTTGACCTTTCCCGCTTTCCATGGCGCGGGGTCAGCCTTTAGCTTCCCCCCCGTAAGGTTTTTGGAGCTGCGGAGCAGTCACCATGTATCATGGAGGCTATCTATCGGGTTGAATTTGTTAATTCACCCGATAGGATCCTAGTTTGCTTGTTGAGAATCTCTCGCTGTGCTGATTGGTATGAGCACTAGGTCCCCAATTCCCGTCGCACACCCAATCGATCGTGTAGTCTTGGCTGGAAGTTGCCCTCTGCTTCTGTTTCCACATCCCACTCCTACCGTCGCTCCCCTACACCCATCCCACACTTGCGCCAATGGTATCTCGTTATCAATTTCTTTTCCGATATTATACCACCTATCTACTCGAGTATGGTAGGGATGTTTATGCTTCCCCGCTTCATATGACTGGTATGATACTTGGGCGTACCAATGACACCCCACGAGATTTGTCACCCACAAGGGTTGTTTTCCTTCCAATTATTTCGCTTGATGACAAGCACATTGCTGGCGATGATCGTGAGAGAGCGATACCTCCCGCCAGAACCCCCCAAAGGGCCCTGCGAATGCCAAGCTCTTGAAGCTCTGTAGTTTGAGAGTTGGCAAACGTCTCGCCGATGAGGAAGCGACTGCAGATAATGCACCCGAGTGGATGGCCAGAATATTCGGCAGAATGGAGCCCCTTGCAAGTCCACCTGCCCTTGAGGAAGATGTTTCAACTCTTAGTTTTGCTATTCCTTTTTCATTTTCTATTGATCTGAGGGAAGGATTTTTTTCTTCTTCCTCGCGATTCATAGTCGAAGTATCTCTTTGCTTCTTTTATTTCGCTCCTTTCTTTCTTCTCACTCCGCAGGCTAAATGACAACTATACCCCCGGTTGTAGATCAGCTATCTCAATTGTGCTGGTATGCTTGACATCAACACGGAATCCTCAAGCGGGGAAGATGATACTAGTGGTGGATATGGCGATGAGAAATAAGGGAAATGGTTATAGATTGCGGCTATCGGACAGGGTTGTTACCGGATACTGCCGCTCGCAGGGCTTAACTTCCTGACTTTTGTGAATGCCGGTACTGCACCGCCCCCTCACAAAAGCCGCACAGACTCTTCGACGGCTTGCTTTGCCCGGGACCTTAGATTACACTTCGTCCCATCTTTCCTTTTTTTTTTTCCCTCCGAATACAATACCAGTATTCCTCACTGCGTTTGGATCAAACCCTGCTTAACTTATAGTCTAGCTTTTCCGTCAAAAAATTTCGTCCGGAGGCCCAGAGTCGGGTTCGTGGCATTCCCTCCCATCAACCGGAGGCACGCTTTACCGCCTCTTTTTGTGTTCTGTGATCAGTCTGGTGTTTAAGTGCGACTGTGGGCATGCCGGTATTAGTCGACGAGCATTTCTGGGCCGCTAGTACCGGCTTTGGCGAGATCATTACCACCAGGCGATCCCCATATCCAGTACGATGCGAAGAGGTGAATGACACGCATGCATAATGTATCTGAAGAGAAACATCTGGGTGGGTCGAAGGTGATGAGACCTATTACTATAGGCTTCACCGAGCATAAGATACAGGGGGTTCGTAAGATTCACATTGAGAAAGTCGGGTTTCAAAAGCCCAGTGCAGCAGCTGTCCTGCTGACTCAGTACAAACTTGCTGACGGGATAAGAAATGGGAGTGGGGACAGTGTACCGGTACGATACGGTATTCTTGGGTAGGGCCAATTGCCAGAGGCGCAATTTGGCTGCGGTGGCTCGGGGCGGGCCGCCACCTTGTTACCGGAGGTGAGCCCATGGGGAAGTGCTGTGACACGAACGGCTAACGGAAGAGCGGAACCAGCATCCAAACACCATTAGAAAAAAAATCCGGTCTCCATACTTGATTTCCTGAATGTTTCAAAACTGACCGAATCGGCGCTCGAGAAAATTGCGGGAACAAGGGAGAGGTGCCCCGCGGTGACATGGCTCGCTTATTGTAGAGTCAAGGCTGCAAACAGCCTCATCCCCGCCCTCAAACATAGTTAGGATTAGAGAGCCGTGTCGCACAACTGAAACATCCGCGCGTAATCGGGACAGCACACACCCTCCACTCTTGACCGATGGGACCTGAAAACACCTGACATACCGTATGGAAGATAACTGCCAGACTCCTCGATACACCATCCCCAGAATGGAATCTGCCCGGCTTGGTCTGTTCAGGTATAGGGGTATTTGTGAATTATGATCTCCTCTTATTCCATCGCTATGTCCAGCTCGTCTGCGAAAAGATTGTCTGGCCGGTGCTCCACCGTATGGCAAACCAGATTGGAACGCGGGGATGCGGCATAGTGCCAGTACTCCACAAATCGCTATCGTAGAATACTTAGCAACCCTGGTCTTGGGCTCGGCAGGACGACACTGCATTTATTCCAGCGCAACGCAACCCTATCTGTTGGAGCTTTAACCAGTGGTATTGGTCCCCCAAGTGTCATTGGGCCAAAAAGATGCAAATATTTGGCATCGGCATAACCAGATAATCGACTAGCATGGCTTAAAGTTTCAATGTTGCCTGATAAATTGGTAATCAGCGAGAATCGGGGGGGGGGAGAGGGAGAAAAAATAGAAAAATGGGCAAACGCGCTGACCATGCGTTCATGCACTCCTTAGTACTATTGAACCCAAAGTGTCGAGATAGTCAGCGTCTTGCACGATGGGGTGGTTGATGGATTCGGGATTATGGTGCCAAATAAGTTAAACAGGGGGTTTTCGTGGAAGTCAATATAACGGACACGAGGTTAGGAGCCGTCACCATTTTGCTACCCTTATTGATGTCACCAGTCATGTGAGGCTCTCCTCATGTACGTATTTTTTGACCATTACGTTCCCGAAAGTGCAAGATCGTTGTGTATACAATCGAGGGTTGCAGGCAAGGTCAAGAATGCTGATGTCCTCTATTGGTGCGATCATACGTTTAACCAGAGACCGGGTACAAATACAGACCTATACGTACCGCACCGTACTCGTACAGAACTCGTACATTCCACCTGTGCTGCAGCGGACAACTCACATCACCACAACGTACTCGGGGGGTATTGCTCAGCGAGCGAAGGGGAGCGGTACGGTACGGTAGTTATGGCATATCCCTAGTGCGGTAGGGGCTACTATGAAACCTAACGGACCCAATTGCCCGAGGTGGGATGGTTTGTCTGCCCCCCCCCCCCATTCACTGCCGTGCGAACCTTTGCAGCTTGGTTCCACTGTCAGTTGAGAAGTATCTTGGGAAATTGGGATTGACTCCGGTGATATGCGGTGGAGAAGTACAATTCCACTCGGTAGAGCGAAAGAAGGGGGGATGAGGGAGCACACAAATATTACTAAATACCGGTACCATACTCGTACTTGCTGAGAGACCTAGTAATCCAACAGATCAATTCGTCGCAATCAAGGTGGAACTTGCGGGGGGGACCCTTCTAACTAACTGCTCCTGGGGTCTGGGCTTTTGGGAATATGATGTCTAGACTTTCTTCTACCTGAGCCTAGAGTTCTGCCCGGGTATGGCTGTCAATCGCCCTTATCTGTGCCACGCCAGCCAAAACGCTGAATATCAATCTGCAGGTTGGCGAGATTAAAGGTCGGCATTTGATTCAGAGAGGTCGGCCATATCAATCAATGTGGCCGTCCTCTTCCGCAGCTTCTTAATCAGTCAGCAAACCTCTCTCTGTTCGCCGACGCTGTTCCTGATTTCTATTGCATGGCTGTACCGGTACTACATTTTGAGTTATGATATTCTTGTACTATACAGGACACCATGTCTGGGGCCAAGGGCTCACTCCCGCTCCGCTGCGGACCCGTCGATTATGTGTGATGATACAGAGACGATACATACCGGACCTCTCTAGTTCCTCCCGCACCTTACCCTGTTGTGGTTGCCCGACTCCTTTCTGGTGCTCACTACTGCTTCCCTCCTCACCCCTTATAGTGTCCTCTCTCTCGGGTGGTTGCGTGGAGCTTCCTTCTTCACTCGTTTCCAACCCTCGCACCAGCTTTGGTTCTCGCGTGGATCCCCGCTTTGCATTTGTGTCTTCTTGCCTCGATCGGATCGTTGGTTGACCAATAGCTAGGACAATAGCTCAATTTACATACCCGCCAGCAAGCCGGCTACGTACGAGGTTGTTGCTGAGGGCTCTATCTGACACTGACTTGTAGCTCGTGTCTCTTGCTAACCTTTGGTTGATCGAACCTTTTTTACCCTATTTTCTAGTTTTCTTAGGTGCTCTCAGTACCGCATCAAGGTTACCTATTGCCTCCTTCCGCCCGGATACGGCTAGCACTTGGGGGCCAACCGCTCTTACTCCCTCCTTGCCATCCTTAGAAATTATGGCCGCACGGTAGCCCAAGGGCTGACCGAACGCGGACTCGATAGCATCGGCGCGGAGTGTGGCATAACAACGAGAGAGCCCTGACCAACTGGTTGGTAGGCGGTTCCCGGTAACATCAGGGGGACAGACTGGTTCCATTGGTGTGTTGCTGACTGTTGTCTCTTACGGTCTGCAGTTCTTGATCCTCTCTTCCCGGAAGCCCAAGACATCTCGGTTTGTTCTTTGCTGGCCGCCGGCCGCTTGGTTTTTTTTTCTTCCCCTCTCTCACAACGCATTCTCAGACAGGCAGTCACCACTGATTCCTGTTGCCTGAGCGCACACGAGTCAACACAGACGCGCGCCCCTCGCGTGTGGTGCCGCAACAAAGGCGCATAGCTAGCTGTAGACAAAAAGCCCCTTCGAGCATCATCCGCTGTGGCCAAGTCATATCATCTGCAGAAGACTCGACTTGCCTACGGTAGAGCCAAATGAGCACACTATGAAAATAAAGTCTGTAACGATAACCCCACAAGAATCGATTGCTGCCCTCTCTTTCACCTTGTTCCGTTCTCCATTTCTTTTCCAAAAAAAGGTTAAAATATTCGAATGGTGGTATAGTCGCACCTCGTTGTCCCGGACGGCCAAAATCCTGAGAATCCGTCCGGAACAGCGAGTTATCCGGGACAACAGGTTTGGTTTCGGTGTGAAGAAATTTATGATTCATAGAAACTCATCCGGGACAGCGAAGAATCCGGGAGAGCGAGGTCCGGGACAACGGGGTGCGACTGTAGTGGGAGTTTGAACAGACGACCGCTCTCTCGTTGTTGCGTAGCGAGTGCCGTACGGGTCCCAGTAGTCATTTTGGGGTCGAGTGCCAGCAAGACGGCCAGCTTCCCTCATTCAACACCGCCATTTGATATTTACTCCCTTCCCTCCCACTTTACTGATATCATTCCATCTTCCATTATCATAGCCCGAGAGGGAGGGATCCATATTTTCGAAGAGTTTCTTGCTATTCTACCATTTATTATTGAATTTGGTTTTGTTTATTCTAGGGATGGGGGTTTGGCCGTAGATACACAAGCGGCTACAAGGCCAACGGGCCAGCAACCAGCAGGCACACAGGCAACATTAATCCCCTTCCTTCCTTCCCCTCTCCCTCTTCCCTCCGCTACCCGCACAAGTTCACCAAACCGCTTCTTTCGCGCTCGATTCTCAACCGACTAGCAGCGATCAGGAGCACCCCCCCCCCCCACCGCCCTGCGGGTTACTCGCTCGCCCTTTTTTTTTTCCCTCTTCTTTAATTAAACTATTATCCACCCATCACCCACCATCAATTCCATCATTCCGAATCCCCATCGCAGAGGCTGGTAGAGCTGATCTGTCCACCTGCAACCAGCCTCTGTCTCTCTCCTGCGATCTACGACCCGCTGCACACCTTGACAGCCCCGCCGCCCGCTATCCTCCCGCACTCTCCCATTCGAAAGGAAAAAAGAGTTAATAAAGCAACTAGTATCCGACCCGACATTGTGGTTTTAGACAATCAGATCCACCAGACGCACCCACACACACACACACCTCCGTTCCCTGCTCTCACTGCCTTACCACCCTCCCATCCTCCTCCCTCATTCACTCCTCGCCCCACTCCCTTTCCATCCGTCCACCCCCCTTTCCCAACGGGCCCTTACATTTGCCATACGTCCCGCACCGTGCCATACGTACAGTACTTGAGATCACCTGCCCCCCTTCCCGAAGCCTCTCGGTTCGACAAGTTTTACCTCTGCATACATACATACCATGCCCCGGAAACCATCTATCTCTTGATACTTAAGGCTCATCCTCCTCCCTGTCCCTGCCCCGTCTTCTTTCGTACCCGCAAATGTCCTGGAACCCCCCGCCCGACGAACGTCACTCGAATCGAAAAGAGTGGGAGAAAACGACAGAAGACAAAGAGCAGCCCCCTGGCAGGAACGACTCTCCACCCCAAACCAAATCACAATTGCATTATTCTGATCCTCACGTAGGCCCTTGCCACCTCTCTTAATCTCGTATGCGATGACTGACATGTTTTTTTATTGTTATTTAAAAAAGGTGAAGCCAACTCATCCCCACCAGCCCCAAGTTCAACATCCACTTCCTCCCCATCTGCACCATTCACCGCACCATCACCCCTACCCTCACACTCAGCCTCCTCAACCTTCCCAAACCCCTCATCTCCCTCCCATACAGCAGGAGCGCCCGGCGATTGAGCAGCCCGAAATGTATGCAGCCTCTGAGCCGATGTATCAGTACCGCATCCCACCCCATCAGTTGCCTGGCTTTCAACAGAGCAATTTTCAGCAGCCGGCACCTAGACAACGAACCGCAATTGCCTGCAGGTACTGTCGGCGACGCAAGGTAAAAAACAAAAAGTCGTGAATCTTGGAGTGGGTGAAATCTTTAGCTAAAACATCAGTAGATTCGATGCTCAGGATTCGAGTCTTCTCCGGATGGACGATGCGCCAATTGCTTGAGGTTCAATCAGGAATGTGTTTTCACACCAGTATCGTCGCAAACGCAAGCGTTCGTTCCCGCCCATGCGGTGTATCCTGGCCGTTCTACTGGAGGACGGGGTGGTCCCTTGTACGGAGCTCACGGTCAGCCCCTCCCTCCAAACTACAATGCGATGCCGATGCCTCTACAGGCACCTGTATCATCGGCGCAATCCTCTATGGAATTCCGCTCATCCCAGAAATATTCCCGGCCCCCAAGTCCTGGAGCTGGACCCAATCGACCGCCGCCTCCACCTCCGGCACAACCACATTATGGAAGCTACGAGGAGCCAATGGCCTATGAACCAGAGAGAAACAGGAGTCAGGAGCCGCGCCCGTCGCTCTTGCCTCCTCCGGTGCCCGGTAACCAACCGCCACAGCCGCGCCCTCTCCAGAGGAGAAGTTCAGCAGGTGAATATCAAAGTCACCATGCGCACAACGACCCTCCCTCCCCTTCGTCCCATCTTCTACATGCGCAGCATGCATATTCTCCTCCGCCGGTTTCTGGGCCACCATCCTCGTCATTTCAAGCTTCCAGCTATGCTCAGGGTCCGCCACCGTCGGCAGCGAGTAATTATTACCCGCCGGGCCCTGGCGCGAGCCAGCAGCGAACAAGGTCACCTGTGGGATTTCATTCGTCGGATCGCTCAAGCGGGTCCCCGCATCCATTTCATCCCCCCATGCATCCCCCGCCTCCGAGGCCCGCCTCATCAGGCCCGAGCCCATCCAGCCCCAATACACATTCGATTCCGTCCATGCAGATGGGGAGTCTGATTGATCCGAGCCAGCCCCACGGCCGGGGAGGAAATCAGCGGACTGCTGCAGATGGAGATATGCTAGACCGGCTAATGCCGAGATCAGGGCTTTGATCTATACAAGTGGGCCTGGGTTGGGGTTGATATCTATTTCCTCAGGAACCGTTTTCCGGGGACCAATGACAAATTTCTCGAACGTACAAATTGAATCATGAAACGACTTTAGTCCTAGCTTAGTGATTTGCATAGCCTTTTTCTCATTCCTTTTCTTTGCAAATCGATCCGGTTTGGTGGAACCTGAAACTTTTTCATGATGTCATTGGGTTTTTTCTGCTGTAAAGTGCCTGATGCCTCAAAAAACAAAAAACGGAACCATGCCTCATTTCTTTTCATTGCATTTGGAGTTTTTTTTTTTTTTGTCTTGATGCCCCAATTCCCGAATCTTTTATATTTTATTGCACGATATTCGTACCAGTCATTTCATGGGTGGAAGCTTTTTTTTTTTCCTCGACTTTTTATCGTTATTTACTGCTATCTGGCGGCTTTTTGTTGTCTTTTCCAATCCTCGCCTTTGGCTAGCTTTGCCAATTTGCATATCCCTTAGCGATGATGACTCCAGTATATACATAGAACGAGATCACGGTCATCGGGTCTTTTTTTTTTGAAGGACAGCATTAGTTGTGTTGATGGCGTAAATGTTTTTTATACCTTTTCTTAAAATCGTCGTTTCTCTTGAGCATCTTTAGGTTGTTCTTTTTTTTTTTTTTTTTTTTTGATGTCGAATCATTTTTGTTCCACCTTCCCTCGATGAACTGTTGAATCATGGCAAAACAGTCGTTTCCTGGATTTTTCTGACATGTTTTTAATAACCCTGTTCATACTTTCACTAGATGCTCTAGATGTTTATAGCTGTCACTCGTTTATACCCCCTCCTCCCCACCGCTCTCTTCCCTCACAAAAACAAAAAAAAAAACACCACACTCTTTTGACCTCGCGGAGTCCTAAGGATATACTATAATGATTTGCTGCTCTTGAGAGTTATCTTCTACAGGCTATGCTATCTTCCCCTAGGCTTGGGAGGTGGGGCAGACGCCTTAACTCCCGCCAGGAAATTACACCACATCCCCCTTTCCCCCAGCCTTTCCCCTCGCATCTTCCCTCCCTCCCTCCCTCCCTCCCTCCCCGCTGATCCGATTCACCCACTCATCCATCCGCCCGTACATCTGCTCGTACAAATGCTCGTATCATACATCAAACCACCCACACATCCACCTACCATCCCCAAGCTTCAACAAATGTTGGGATGCCTTTATCCTCAGGGATCACGATCGACCGGCTGGTTTGATGGAAAAAAAAAAACCTGAAATGACTGTGACACAATGACTCTAATTTCACCCCCTCCCTCACACCCCATCTCTTATCCCCCGCCACCTTTCGGGCAGCAGAAGTACGGTAGACCAGTGGTCCTCCTCTCGTGGTACGGGAGGTAACCGGCCAAGCCGTTACTCTCGTTACATGTATATCAATTTGTGATATGATGTGTGAAGGCGGAAAAAAAGATCGGACGAGAGCCCTTTTTCCACAATTACTGTTTTAACAAGTGGTAGTGTAGGGGTGTGCATGTGCAGAGACGTGATAGTACGGTACACTGGCAAGCTTGGCATGGGTACCCTTCTTTCGGTTCCGGGAGAGAGATAAAAAGGGATTGTTGGAGGGGTGCATTGGTTAGGAAGGGGGACGCCGTAGGTGGAAAAAGGCAAAGAGTTCCTTTCCTTCCTTCCAAGCAGGCTGTGGTATCATATCAAACTACTGGTATTGGAAGTGTATGACAATTGCTGAATCGAAGTAAGGGTTATTAGAAGGCGTTCAGCCCCAAGATTGAGAAAAAAAAAACGTTTATGGAAAACTTTTTGGAGGTTGAAGGGAGATTCGGTGTGTGTAACTAACGCCCTTTTTTTCTTTTTTCTTTTTTTCTTCCTCTTCTCGTAACAAACCTGGAAAAACTTGGCATCCGAGGGACGCTTTCTTGTCGCTTCCCCCGGGGGGGGCTGAATGCCTGCCTCCATTCAGTTATGTGCTTAGCCATGAATTTGCATTTTGAGGAAATGATGTTGGGAAGGGGAGAAGAGGATACGGTACAGTAGTGGAGGGGGGGGGGCAGAGCAGGGCAGGGCAGAGAAGGGAAGGGCAAAACGGCCTAGCCCTGCTTTCTGGTAACATAGCCAGGCTGAATGAAGGTTTACATTTGTGACGATAGCCTCGAGCTCTGTTTCCCAACCTTGTGTTTGATACCATCACTGCTCTCACCACTGCAATCATCTCTTAATCGCGTTACTCAACCCCAGTATTCTGGCCTATTCCAACCTAATTCCGTCAGACAGAGGCTTTAATCCTTTCCTCTCTCATTCTTCACTTTTCTACATTGAAGGGTACAAAAGTCCCAAGCAATCCTCACATTTCGGCAAACACGATTCGCATGATTAACATGCAAGGGATTTTGTAGGAGTTGTTGGCAGGTTGTGAATGTTGGGTGGAGGAGTAAGGAGTAAGGAGTTGGTGGGTGAGGAGGGAAGGGAAGGAGAGGGAAGAAAAGAAAAGAAGAAAAAAATGGTGAAAGAAAAAAATAAATAAATAAATGGGAGAGGTATGATTGGATTATTAACTGCCAACTTCAACATACATGGAGTTATTTATTTATTCATCCATCTGGAGTAATTTATGGGGTACCTTCGAATAAAGGGATTTCATTTCATTGGCCAGTTAACTTAAACCGATCGGTTGCAACGACATGAAAATGATGGAATCTCCCCATATTTTTGAAATTGCAGGTTAGCTTGTTATAATAACTTTGGATGATGTATGTACTGTACTCGAGTACATATGTGCCTTTGAGGTGGACATCATATGCGGGTTTTGCTTGACGCTAGGCCGCAATCCAATGTATGCGTACAGTACGGAGTACAGGTGCAATACGAGTACTGTACTAGTACAGTGCAGTGCAGTACAAGCACGAGTACTTCCCACACACTTGTATGATTGATTGATCGTTACAGTACGGTAGCTTCACTACGAATGCGGTTCAGGTATGAAAAGAAGGAAGAAAAGAAGAGGAGAAAAAAAAAACTCTCCCGTAATGGGTGGTTATGATGAAGCATAATGTTATTAATAGGTCAGTTTTTAATGGTTTGATATATACAGCTTTTTGTTAATGTGCACTACCTGAAGGAGCTGTTTTTTTTTATTTTATTTTTTATATTATTTTTATCCGTTTGGTTTTTGTCGCGTGTCGGTTCTCTCCAGTTCATGTCTATATGCAGATTCGAGTATCGATGCAGGTATCACACGGCACGTAGCCTTCCCTTCCCTTCCCCCCCCCCTTCCCGCCGCTAGTGTGTGGCATCATAGGTGCCGCAAGGAGTATACCAACTCGGTCAAGTCTATGTCCCCAAAAACAAGGGATCCTTCTCCTTCTCCTCTTCCTGCCCCCATCCTGTTGATCTCCCTATGTTCGTTCTGTGTCAGTGGGGTCTCGTAGTTCCACCAGGACCTTAGCCTGGTGAATATCGAAGGGCGTGGGGTCTCCTCTACTCTATTTTCGGCAAGGGCAGTCGAAGATGCGCCAGCGGAAGTGAGGGGGTAAGTGAGAGAAGTTTCTGTCCCGTGTTGTCCGTTTTGTCCGTTCTGGTGGGCTGGTGGTGGTGGTGGTGGTGGTGATGGTGGTATACCGGGAATGGTTGATCTTGGCCCCGACTGTGGCAGCCGCAGTTGTGAGACGAGACCTAGCGGGTATGCGGCTGGGTCGTAATACTCGTTAGCCTGGTGTTCGGGATCATTCCTTGGTTCTGCTGGGCGTTTTCTCATATGGACGAGGAGCCAGATGGCCAATAGGCATAGGGGGATTAAAGTTCCGATGGTGATTAAAAGTGCCGTGTCGGTTCTAGAATATATCGCCTCATATGATCCGTTCGTTCCAATGATTAGCCTTGCGCGTACAGTGGGTGCCATATGTCACCGTTGTTTTTTCCCTTTTACTTTTTTTTTTTTTTTTTTTTCCACCCCGGAGTATGATGGGGGAGGTGTGTGTGGGGGGGGAGGGGGGTGGGAAGAAACAAGCAAATGTGCGCACAAGCATGATTTCCTTGCCATGAGAATACTATTTTTTTTTCTTTTTTTCCTTCTGCTCTTTACTTCATGGCCATGCCTACCGAAGTGAGAGAGAGAGAGAGAGAGGAGGAAGAAAAAGAAAAGGGGAAAAAAACAATACTAAGCAGAGGAAAGAGTAAATGGGGTAGTTGAAACAAATAGGCGGAGTAAGCCGGGAGGGAAGGAACGGGCAACATCATCAATCTCTGAGAAGGGGGGGGGATAGGAAGGATGAACTTACCGACTACTGTTGCTCGCATGTCCCACCGCCTCGTTGGGCCCTTTGTTTCGCGCGCTCTGGGCGGTGTCTGCTCCCACCCATCCGGTACCAATAAGACTGTTGCCCTTGCGTTCGCCGCGGGGATCTAATCCATACGACATCACTCGGCCGACATGTTCGACCCTGGCGCGACCAATGAATGCTGCTCCAGCGGCTCCCCGGGTGGGGGCATAGGATAGCATGAATAGCAGGGCTATCCAAACTGCACGGGACATCAAAGTGTACGAATGGAAACTAGAAGAAGAACGCATGGGAGTATTATCGATAGAAGAAGAAGGAAGGATTGCGGGAGCGAGCGAAGGGGTGGGATTAGGTGGACGCTTTTGGAACGCGAATGCGCAGCAGCGAGTGAAAGGTTGTCACGGATATGTCAAGTGTTCCGGGTTGTCGTTCCTCTAGCACTTCAATAATATATTCTGCATGTTGGAACTCTATGGAGTGGAAGGACCATTTACAAAGTCTATTGTACGTGAGGGGAGCATCGTGGTCAATGGTTGGCTGGCTGTAGGCGGGCATAGGAGGGAGTGAACTTTTTTTGCTGCAGGATGTTCCCATACCCCATTGAATCCCTCCCTCCCTCCCTCCCTATTACCTCATTCCTCCCCCTCCTCCCCCCCCCTCCATCCATCCATTGATACAGCCAACTAAACGGTCATCATAATGTGATACCGAGAAGAACGGCCCCACCAATAGACTCCCAGACCAAAAACCCGGGGTTGACGGTGACAACCACGCGGGTAGGTGGGCTACCGGTACTCGAGTACAAAGTTTAAAATGGAAAAAAAAAAAAAAAGAGAAGAGTGGGTAAAAAAAAAGTGCACGGATACGTGAGAGAATAAGACTGGAAGGGGAAAAGCAACCATCCATGATGGATTTTAGATGGGAAACCAAACAACTAACTTAACTTAGCCGATAAACCGATACATTTACCAAGCATTGAGCAACGGTCCGGTCCCAACCACGCTGACGCTCACGCTAACCGACAAGTGAAATGGTGCTGATCGAGAAATTCCGAGGACCTGGTTTTGAGCAGTTGCGATATTTCGACCCGTGGAGTTACCGTACCGTAAAGGGAGGAAAAAAAAAAAAAAGGGGGGGGGGGGTTCATTTTATTTTTTTCCCCCCTCTCCTTTTGCTTTACCTTCCCTCCCTCCCTTCCTTCCTTCCTCCCTTCCCTTCCCTAGCTTCCTACCATGCTCGTGTGCAGAGTTTACTACCGGTAGCGCGGAGCGGGTTGAAGTGGGTGGGGCTGGACACTTTGTACAATACGTATCATACTCGTATGATATTCACGGGAACCACCACCGGCGGTGTCCGACTTCGATTCGGTCGCGCGAGTACTTTCTTACAATAGTTACGGCGGATACTACTCTACTAGTTACTGTGCTAGAAATGGCTCTGGGCTATAATAGTACGTTACTTGGCCTCGGGTTCTGGCCGAGCTCCTCCTCGTAGCGCGAAACATTCTAGCTGTGGGTTGGGCGGTGATAAAGCGAGAGAGAGGGTGAGAGAGGGTGGGAAAGCCTTTTTCGTTTTCTTCATGACCATATGGGCTTGGGAGAGGCGCATTTAGTGCGATGGTGTTTTCTGGAATGCCAAGATTGTGGTAAATTGGAAGTTGCTCCGGTCGGTGGATGGGATGCATCCTACTGGTACTGTACGAGTGCAGTACCCTGGAGAAGCGGTATTGGTACTGGTACGGTTCCAGTGCTCTACTCTGGTTTAGCACTGTACAGTATCATACACACATTGAAAATATATCCGACCTACGCCAAAGCAGAAGGCTGTCTCCCACCGGCTTATTCAGAACGTCAACTATCGTGGGTATTGTATAATAGCTAAATTAGCCACTACCTCCTCAACCACCGGTAACTTAGTCGTTAGCCAGGTGTAAGATTTTCGAGCCTCAAGAAACCCCGCGATGTCTCACAACGTTTCCCCATTTATCCAGCACATAGCACAACAATCGGCACGTCTCACAAAACTCCTCAAACTAGGATTCGAAACCACGCACCCCGCGAAAAAAAAAAAAAAGATGAGCCAGTGCGGTACTTGTCCCAGGCCATAAGTGTCCCAGGCCATAAGTACCCGAAAACAGGGGGGATATAATACAAGGATATTTTGTATGGGCGCTCAGATACGCACGGATATTCTACCATATATTTCTTTAATCCTTGTTTTCGGGTACTTATGGCCTGTAACAAGTACGGTAAGTGGTGGGTGCCCGCTGTTCTGTTCTGTTCTGTGCCGGGGGCTCGGGTATGTATGTGAAATGTAGGGAAAAAAAAACATTGTCGCCTCATTACAAGTATTATCCGTGGAAATGGTAATTTTTCTCCCTCCATGTGGTGGTGGTGGTGGTGGGTATGGGTAATCTTTCGCAAGCTAGTCTAACTATGATATTAACTTTATTTCCACACTTCACACACACACCCCTTTACTGTACCATTCGTTCCTTCATATTCCCAATTCGATTCGTAATTTTCCCGGTACGTACAATACTGTAGCAACCCCCGTCCCTTTCCCTTCCCCTTCCTCTGTTTGTCCTGCGTAGTTTCGATATGCGTGAGGATTCTCTTGACGAGTTTAATCCCTCCCCCCCTTTCCACCCCCCACCTCCTGATTTGCAGCGCGGGTATCGTAGTCTGAGGTACAGTACGAGCACAGTACGGTAGACACCGAGTGCAGCCTTTTCTTTTTCTTTTTCTTTTTCTTTTTCTTTTCTTTTGCCCGCCGTGCTTCTCCCTTTGCGTGATTGTCCCGTGGCCCTTCCTCTAGGGAACTAGTCTACAGTAATGCTAAAACAGCTAACGATGGTATTACTCGTAGATTGCCCGTTTCTACGGCACTAAGATAATGTTCTTTCCTTTTTTTTTACACTGCCTTTTCTCCTCCTTCTCGATTTGAATCTTGTCATGTCCCCGGTTATTACGGTTGGGAAAAGCAACGATACCATACTGTAGAGGGAGGGGCACGTGGGCACATGTGGAAAAATTATCGTCGAAGGCGTCCCGGTCCGGGAGATATGCCGTGCGGGTTTTGCTCGTGGAGGAGAGAACTCGTCCCGACTTCCAGGTATGATACTGGGGGTTTCTTCCGGGGGTTTGCTACATTACGATGGCTCTGGTAGCTGGAACTGTTGTCTCTGATTGTCTTTTTTTCTGCTCCCAGCGGTGAACTTTTTGGGACTTTGCCCGGGTATCCCCGTCCGGTAGGGAGGGAATGGGATGGAAGGGAAGGGAAGGGAAGGGAAGGGAAGGGAAGAGCGGGCGGGGGAAGGGAGGGAAGGGAATGGAATGGAATGGCATCGAAGGAAACGAAAGACGGAGTGAATTTACTCGAAATATCATCCCACATTTGTCAATCATACGCAGCAAAGTTCCCGATTGTCATTCCTCTTCTGCAAAAAGGCGTAAGATACAGTGCCGGAAATATAGAGTGCTTTCCGGTGACGATGCCACTGCTGGCTGTGACGATGGTTTGCGGTGGTGGCGGAGGTGACGGCAAACGATTGGCTCTCGCGGCGGGTATGATATTAAGAACTTATGATACCAGGGCATTACGGTACCGCTCTTGATAGCTAATCTCATGATTCATGTACCGGGTTCGTATGCGGGGAGATTACCTTGTACGAGTAATCGGTGACTTCCAGGATGATTGGTGCTCTGCGGTCAGTAAAAGGAGAGGCTTCCTCAATGCATAGATTGAGCTAGGGGACCACGATAACTGAGGGAGAGGGAGAGGGAGAGGGGCGACCACTAGCCAACTCCTTCCCCTCGTCCCCTCCTTCCCTTTCCTTCCCCTCCCACCCCCCCCCCCTCTTCCATCATAGCATTGTGAATATTCGTAAAATTTCCCCCATGCATTTCGTTTGATACAGTACTCGGCATACTGCATAAATGCCGGTACAGTACGAGTAGTGGTATGATAGCCCGCCCATCAGCGGTCAAAGAGGGGGGGGGTTGCAAACGCACGTCCTTTTCCGACCTCCACACGGCCAGGAAGGGATGTGCCAGGCAGCAGTACAGTAGGAAGAGGAGGGGGGTACATTTTGCGTTGGCACTAAGATACGCGCAGATTTTTTTTTTTTTACCTACTATATACTTGTACAAGTATACAGCAAGAAATACCTGAACACAGGGATTAAATATTTGTATGGCAGATCGTCTGTGCGTGTCTGTGCCCGTCTGAGCGCCTATACCAAATTCTGACGGGATCCGACACGCCATGTTCAGGTATTTCTTGTGGTATACCTGTACTTCCTTTAATCCTTGTTTTCGGGTACTTCTCACTTGTACCTGGGACAAATAGTAACGTCATAAGCTAGCCAGCAGCGGGAAGAGAAGGATTTGAAGGAGGTGGAGGGGCACCGATATGCCCCGGGAGGGACCAGGGGGAGAGGGGGTTTAACTTGGTGTTTGGTGTTCGGGGTACTCCTACTTTTATCCTCAATTTCGCCATCCCCGTGATTTCCCGGAGTCTGGCGCAATATGCGCTCCCTCCGATTCGTTAGACTTAGCGTTTGTTGCGCCATGACCACCACCTGCTCCGCCACCCCCCGTCCTAGTATTTGTTTTTTCCAAGTGTTTTTTTCCTTTTCCTTCCTTCCACCTTTCTTTTATTTTATTTCCCCTGCTTTTCGTCCTATCCACGTTGTGAAAGTATCCCTACACAGAGTCAGTTAAATATCATACTTGTACTGTACGAGTAGAGGGGGGGATGCATTTGTGAGGGGACCTTCTTTGTACTTGTATCATACTCGTACTAGTACTGTAGCCGGAAGGGGTGGGGTGGACATTAGCATACGGTTTAGTTCCTGGTTTGGTTTATACAGTACTTTAATCCATTATACCAAGCCATTGTCCCCAATACGGGTCAATCCCTTGGCATACGCCCATTAACTGCCTGTTGCTAAGGGAATTAGCAGTGATGAACATGTCCTGCGGTGCTGTACTCGAGTACCGTAGTCTAGACATTCCCCTCGCTCCAGCAGGAAACGTTAGCACTATCTTTAAACCCTATATATCCGTGAAACTTTGGGATATTTTTGTTTTCTCTCTTTATTAGTGCGTAGGGAATCGCCTTACTATATCATCTGATAGAGATATAACTCTCATCGTAGCGGCCGTTGGAAATCCGTTTGGGGGGGGGGGGGGGGGAAAGGCTTGAAGTGGGATAGATATCTTCTTTGCAAAGTAGTGTGTACTCGTACTCGGACTACGAGATGTCCCTTCCATAGACTACATATCGTGCAATGTTTCACTACACGACCATCCCCCGGCATATCGAGCGAGCACTCGTATTCGTCGCCCGGTCTTTGGCGGGTCGTGCGCTTTTAGATCG